CGCGGGCTTTGGCCCAAAAGTAAGTGTCCGTGCGTCAACCTCGCTTAACCTGTTTTTAATCGTGTGAGATGACCATTCTTCTAAGAGACATATCCTCCGAGGACCACTTATCATCAGTGTTCCTGGTTCATGAGAGCTTCTCTGCTAGTGCTGCCCACCTTCTTTTAGACGTGATTTTTATTGCGTTTTTAGTTTCAAGAGGCCGGATCGCGACTAGAGGTTAGGCATCTCGGTCATAGAAGAAGAAATAACAAATGATACATTTAATAATGTACTACATATCACAACTACAGAAATCACTCTCAAAGGCTGTATTTGTTCCTTGTTTGCTTTTATGCCATGTACTGTTTTAAATAGAGATTATATTCACAGGCATCCTAATGTTTGGTGTGTTGTATTTTTTATTGCTAAATATTACAAATGAGCAAAATTCCTAAGATTTGTCACAAGGTCAATTGTAGTTTATGTGTTTTATAAATGTATTGATTAATTACTTTCATCATTCAAGCTTAACAAACAATGTGAGACATGAAAAGCGAAAAAATATGTAAAAATAAAGAGCGATCTCCACAAATTCATTTGATAGGGTTTCAATTTGAATTAAATTTCAATTTAAGTACCTAATGAACTCGTCTGGCTTTAAACTCGGACCCGATTGCGTGTTTCGGCCCATTTGGAATCTCAAAGCACAATGTTCCAACCTCATTTGGTTTGCTAATACAGCTCCAATAAGAACTGAAATTCTAATAGGGTAGGAAAAGAGAGAATTTCATTTTCCGAGCCGAATATGCCACATTTGGTGTAATGAGGCTCATTCGTTGAATAATTAATGAGTGTATGGCTGTTGTTTTTGTCGGAATAAAAGGGTCGTGGAAAAATCTCTATTAATTAATTCTTTTAATCGCCAACATACCCGTTTCTGTTGGAAAAAATTGGGCAAATTACAATTATATACCTCTACATTTTAGCTCGCAAAAAAACTCCGTTCTTACCTTCAGTAACACCCTTTTGGCAATTATACCTATTTATGCCTCCTAATGGTCTTCACATTAACCATTTCCGGTTGCGTATTGTGTAATATGAATATAAAATTAAAATATACTTCCAAATTTACCGTAAATATTAAAATAAATTTTAATTAATTAAGGTTTTTAGTTGAGATAAAAACGTCAGTGTCACAAGCGGGATTCGAACCCACGACCTTCGGTACAATACGCCGCCGCTCTACCACTTAGCTATCGTGACTTCGATCCACTCGGACACTAACTTCCATCTCAACCCCACCTTTTGAATTTTCCCAACTTTTTGCCATTTTTCCACCTCCTTCCTTTTTTATCTCAACTAAAAATCTTAATTAATTGAAAGATATTAAGTGGTCAAGCAGACCACGAAAACTTGTGAATTAAAATAAATATGTAAAAAATATAATGTAAAAAAATCACATATACGTTTGTCATATAAAAGCAAAATAATAAAATCAGTTTCAATTAATTAGCATTAACATCAACCCATTATATTTCGTGGTCCGATTGACCAAATAACTTCTTTCAATTAATTATTCTTTTTATGTAAGGTATTGGTTGAAATGAAAAAGTCACGAGCGGGATTCGAACCCACGATCTTCGGCTCAATAGGCTGCTGCTCCAACCGCTTGAGCTATGGTGACATTAACATCAACATTAAAAATTTATTCTAAATCAAATATAAATTTATTAAATACGGATGATTGATGGATGATAATGATGAAAACAAAACTATACGCTGATATAAAAGTAAACAGTATCCATTGATTTCAACTTGCATAGTCAATAAGCCATAGCAATGGAAATTAACCTATAAAAACAAACTATAATAAGTAAATATTTGATGTATAGCTAGTTAAATTTTAAGAAAAACGTTATTTATTCGCCATGTTTAAATAATGTAGCGATATATAATAAATTATTTCAGTTGATCACCCCGGTGGCCATTAATTATGTGGCACATGGAGCAACATTTTTCAAACAGCCGGTCATATACGCGGGCTTTTGCCGTGTATCAACCTTCCATGGCTTATTTTTAGTCAGTACTCGTATTTTGTATTTGTACTTACTGTTTTTATTTATATTTCATATCTGTATTTATATTCGTATTGTCATGTTAAGTTTATTCTTGTACCTGTTCGTGTGCATATTTTGTTAGTAACTTAATTCATATTTACAATATACATTTCATCTGTGTCGACATTCTACTGTGTCATTATTTCAGGGTTCGTGTAAATTTGTCTTTGCGTTTGCACTTCTGCATATTGAAATCTTCCTGTATTTCATGTATTTGTTTTATTGTATTCGCACTTGCCACGGCATTTTTGTCTCATGTTTGTATGATTATCAGCATATGTATTTGCGCCAGAATATTTTTTTTTTGAAAATTAATAATTGTATGGATTTTGTGAGTTAATAATTATATTTTGGCCAGTACATGGATTTTGTGAGTTAATTTTTTGGGCCAGTACGTGATTTTGTGGGTTAATAATTATTTTTGGGCCACTACATGGATTTTGTGAATTAATAATTATATTTGGACAGTGCATGGAGTTTGTGAGTTAATAATTAATTTTTGACATGTGCATGGATTTTGTGATTTAATAATTACATTTTGGCCAGTGCATGGAATTTGTGAGTTAATAATTATTTTTGGCCCAGTACATGGATTTTGTGAGTTAATAATTTTTTTTGGGCCAGTACGTGATTTTGTGAGTTAATAATTATATTTTGGCCAGTGCATGGAATTTGTGAGTTAATAATTATTTTTGGGCAGGTACATGGATTTTGTGAATTAATAATTACATTTTGGCCAGTACATGGATTTTGTGAGTTAATAATTATTTTTGGCCAGAGCATGGAATTTGTGAGTTATTAATTATATTTTGGACAGTGCATGGAGTTTGTGAGTTAATAATTAATTTTTGACCTGTGCATGGATTTTGTGATTTAATAATTACATTTTGGCCAGTGCATGGAATTTGTGAGTTAATAATTATTTTTGGCCCAGTACATGGATTTTGTGAGTTAATAATTTTTTTTGGGCCAGTACGTGATTTTGTGAGTTAATAATTATATTTTGGCCAGTGCATGGAATTTGTGAGTTAATAATTATTTTTGGGCAGGTACATGGATTTTGTGAATTAATAATTACATTTTGGCCAGTACATGGATTGTGTGAGTTAATAATTATTTTTGGCCAGAGCATGGAATTTGTGAGTTATTAATTATATTTGGGCCAGTACATGGATTTTGTGAGTTAATAATTATATTTTGGCCACAACATGGATTTTGTGAGTTAATAATTTTTTTTAAATTTTTATTTTACGAGGGTGCGCAACAGCAGAGGTTATGTCAACTCTCGGGGTGCCGGTGTTTTTGAAAAAAAGCCCATTTGTAAGTATGTCGGGTTCGAATGCAGGGCCGCTGGATTCGAACCCGGGACCTTTACCTTACAGTGATGATCGCCGTGTCAACGCCTAAACCGTTGCGGCCACCGACGCCCCTGAGTTAATAATTATATCTGTATTTTGTGATCTAATAATTTAAGCTATATGTGATGTAATAATTTTATCTGTATCGTATTTGCGCCAGTATCTAGATTTTGTGAGGTAATAATGTATCTGTATTTGGATTTTCACACTATTTGTATCTTGTGAGCTATTAATTATATTTGCACCAGTGTATGTATTTTTGTGTGATAAAATATGTATTTGTATTTGTGCCAGTATGTGTATTTTGTGAGGTAATCATTGTGTCTCTATTGTATTTGCGCCAGTATAAGTGTTTTTGAGCGTTAATATTTCTATTAAGTCGATGTTTTTGACCAGTTAATTGTAAATTTAGGACGTGTAGTGTTGTATCAATTAAGAAATTAGTTCGTGGGTCATCTAAATAATTGGTAGCTCTATATAATGCCCGGAGAAAGGTCAATATAGGCCTAAAAAAACTGGGCAATTAATAAATATCTCACACCTGACTGATTTCAACCCTAATTCACCATTTGTTTCTTTATTTACAGTTGCACCACTATTGGCATTTTTTCGATGTTTCTATTTTGGCCTGTATTTATAATTCCATTACCGTTGCTTTGTATGTATTTTGTATTCTAATTAATTGTAATTAAGTTCTTTGTATTTTTATATGTCATTTATTTTATTCAGAGGAACTAGGAAAACTCCGGATTAGAGGAACCTATGCTCTTTCGCTAGATTGAAATTGACGGAGCATGCAGATTGTTCAAAGGTGGCTGAGAAATCCTCGCTCCACTTGAAAACAGACTAAAGAGTAACAATTCTCAAAGGAAGAATTCTTTTCGCGAGTTATTACTGCGGAAGTAGTACTGCCTCTGGATGTTGGAAAATCACCGTTGTACTATAAAATTACCAAAAGAGAGATGCAATATATCACAAAAGACGCGGTAGTGTAAAATCACAAAAACATAAACAGTTTAAACATAATTTCGTTTTGCTTAAGGACATACTTTTTCTCGTAGGAAACAAATCAGAAAATCGGGGGCAGAAAGTGGTACTAACCATTTTAATCCTTGTACAAGTCTTATTCTCTTAGACTGGTGAAAATATTTACGTTCTAACCTCTAATCATAAACCTAAAGTTCACAATTCTATGTAAACATCATGACGAAAGTGGTAATTTTCAACCAGCAGAAATGGGAAGCAGTATGAAAGCGGAATCAATTACGGCATTTTCATCACAAATGAGATGATCAATGCATAAAAAAGCAGTTATTGCTCGTTAAAATTGACCTTTTCACCCCGAATCGACCTTTAATTCACGGTCTCATTTCGGCGGGTTAATGAACACCGAAATAAACCCAAACCTAACCGCACATAAAACCCCTCCAGTCGCAAACAACACGAAATTGCTCTTCTCGAGAAGGTCCTTGTCCTCCGATTCGCTGTTTTTTCGCATATGTATCAATAAAAAAAATCGAACGTTTTAATAATATCGACTTACTTTAATATTTCTTGCAGCAATCACTGAAACTGTGAGTCTATGAAGGTTTTCGTTATAAAACAGTGAAATCAGGAGCTCTCCGAGATCTGAACAGGGACCATCTGTCTCCTGGAAAAAAAAATTTAATTAAAATTTGCACAAAAAATTTAGAAAGTAAAGAGATTAGCATTTTCTGCTTGGTAATAAACGTAAACTTTTTACGGAATATCTTCGATCCGATGTCACATCGGTTAGAACTATTACGAAGTACGTTGATTCCATGTGATCAATATTGATTAAACTGTTGCCTAACATTTAGGAAAACGTGATATCTATTATGATAACTACAGGGGTAGCTTCACCCATTAGTTTTTTTTAAACAAAATGCTATTCTACAATATATCAAAATTATTCAGAATTCGTGAGATGCGGTCTGGTGTGATGTAGGTTTCAGAAAAACATTTTCTTTATCGTGCCAACGTTTCGATCTTTATTGAAATCATCTTCAGGCCTGGGATTTACAAGCATTGTTTACATTTAACAAATACATTTAGGATGTGGAAAAGTGAATTTATACAATGCAAAATATATTTTTTATATTCAATCAAAGTATTTCTACTCACTCTACTTTTCTACTAAACACTTTGATTGAATATAAAAAATATATTTTGCATTGTATGAATTCATTTTTCCACATCCTAAATGTATTTGTTAAATGTAAACAATGTTTGTAAATCCCAGGCCCTGAAGATGATCTCAATAAAGATCGAAACGTTGCCACGATAAAGAAAATGTTTTTCTGAAACCTACATCACACCAGACCGCATCTCACGAATTCTGAAGAATTATCGATTAACGGTCACTTAAGAGACCACTTATATATGCTTTCTATGTTGTTTTTGTTACAAAAATTCCTTAAATTAACTTTTTTTTAAATTCATAAAGGTAAATAATTATCAACTATTAAGTAAAAGAATAAATCAAGCATAAACGGACTTGCAAATTAGCTCTCTTTGTTAAGAGTACCAAAAAACAGGTATTTACGACGAAAATCATGCTACCGGGTGAATTAACGGCCTTGACATCGCCTGTTTCCACATCTGCAAACGCTATTTCATGACGAGGTCATATCAAGCTCATACATCTTGGGTCGTGTACGATTTTCTAAGCTGATTTATACGCTATTTAACACTTACGGTTTTTCCATAACCATAACTTTTCTTATTCCATTAACAAAATGGAGGGTGAAGAGTACGTCAGCGGCTAGATAGATTATAGATTTTTGATTCATCCGACCCAGCACAGTCAGTGAAGGGATCCGCGCTATTTATAACTTTGACATCAATAAAGCTATTGAAATAAAGGATGAACTTAGTTATCCTATCTCTTCATTGATATTTTATTTGTAGTGGAGATTTCAAGAAAAAATACCATACTATATAAATAAAGACAAGTGTTTTTAACTATTAATAATAACATACAATACTCTCCTTCTTCTTCTCTCACTCTCTCTCTCTCTCTCTCTCTCTCTCTCTCTTTCTCTCTCTCTCTCCCTCTCTTTCTCCAAGATCTAGGCATCACTATCGATAAAACATTAAGTTGGAAAAGACAAGAATCAAATGTATGTCAAAACATTTATCGAAGCCTGCATCAACTAAGAACAAGGACAATAAAGCCAGGCTTAACTATTAAAAAATAAATGGCTCAATTCCTCATTTTACATCACATCGAGTATTGTCTTCTACCATCGACATGAACCAGGAAAATATCAATAGATTAAAAAAATGTTTAAATGTCTGTGTCCGCTTCATATTAAATTTAAAACTATTTAAGCATGTGACGCCATATTATTTGAAATTGAATTGGTTGAAAATAAAGGAACGTTTCACACTAAACACAGTTACAACGGCTTTAAAAAAATTAAAATTTAAAAAAATCTATTTACCCATACTCAAGATTTACATTCATGGCATCGATTTATAAATAATCCTCAAAAGTCAACCTTGTACAAATATCCAATTACCATACAGCTATATACAACAAATCATTTCTGGTACAAGCCTCGCGTAATGTCAACATTTTCTCAAAAGTCTTAAACTGTGAGCATTCTGTAGAAATTAACAGGCTAAAAATGCACTCCATCCTAATAAAGCAATATGGTGTTACAAATAAATAGTTTCATAAACTAAACAATCTATTTGTCAATGATCTAATATGTTTCTTTATAAATCTTAATATTTATTTTATTATTTACTATATGATGTGCTTATACCCCTCGGTTTCTCGTTGGATGATGTCACAAATATTTAATTGTCTCTAGTATTCTAGATACTACGATACAATTTAATTATTATTTTTGTGAGTATTATTTTTTAGCTTTAATGATGAGTTTGAGATTATTTACTGAAACAAATTAGTAGTTATTTACCTATGTTTTCACGTATATATTTCATCTATTATTTATTATCGATTAAGTTGCTTGTTAAATTGAATTATTTGTAGTTTTTTTTTAATTATTTGGAGATCGTGAGGTGCGGTCTGGTGTGACGTAGGTTTTAGAAAAACATTTTCTTTATCGTGCCAACGTTTCGATCATTATTGAGATCATCTTCAGGGCCTGGAATTTATAAACGTAGTTTAAATGTTACAAATACATGTAGGATGTGAAAAAAATTTATTCAATGCGAGAAAATTTTTGGTTCAAAAATATGAATTTATACAATGCTAGAAAATTTCTGATTAAAACAATTTATACAATGCTAGAAAATTTTAGTTAAAAAAATAATTTATACAGTGCTAGAAAATGTTAGATTAAAAAAACAGGCCCTGGAGATGATCTCAATAAAGATTGAAACGTTGGCACGAAAAAGAAAATGTATTTCTAAAACCAACGTCCACCAGACCGCATCTCACGATCTCCGAATAATCATTAACTAATTTGTTAACCAACAGCTAATTGTTACTAAACAAAACAGCGAATGTTCCTATTGTTTAAAAAAATAATTTAACTTAAAAAAACGTTATTTAAAAAGATAATATCTAGATTGTTATCAATGCAGCCTATCTATAAAAATGCAACAACAAAAGGCCCAGGTTTCGAATGGATAAAATCAAATCAGTAGAGCAATCTTTGAGAGTATTATGAGTATTACATTCCCGAGGAGATACCATTGAAATGTATAAGCGGGTAGACTGTAAACGAGTATAAAAATAGTTCCCAACAAGAAATACTGTATAAATTCTAGCATTATTTGCATGCAAATCGCATACTCTGGTATGATCATTATATTGTTAAAATGGTGCAGTAGGCGATTTTTGGTCACAAACTTTGTTCTGGTTAAATAAAGCTGTTTTATTTTAAATACATTTATCGAAAGTAGTTGTTCGTTTCAAAGTGAAGTTGGTTTCATAACAATAACTGTGGCCTGAGATTAAAGAAAGTTTGCGTGAATTATTGCCTCTTGAATACCAAAAGCTAATTGCGTTCTTTGATCAAAATCTTGTTTTGGAGTTTACTTTGTTAATGTTTTGCAATCAATCAATAAATCTACTTTTTGCTATTTTATTATTTATGCTGAATTTTATACAAATAATATTTTTCAATTACGGAGAACAGTTATTTCTTATTATTTTGAAAAATTTAAAATAAATCAACAATAAAATTAATTAGTTTATTTTACTTAGTTGATCAATGAATTTATTAATGTGAGACAGATGAAGGTATTGTTAAAAAAATATTGTCATTTCTTTATTATTGACAATTCTCTTTTTTTATCATTTTTATTGTTGTTCAGAGTGGCAAAAAGTGAAATTTAATTTCTCTACCAAGTAACAAATCATTCGTCTTCGGTTCATTTTTGACGTCCTTGGCTGTCTGTCCGGGTCGAAACGAAAATTAAACTTCCACGTCTTGTAAAGTGATTAAAAACCTGAGAGGATTCATTACTACCGACGAAATGAAATGGGGTCATTAAGGTGTTTGATAATTGTTCAACGGAATTAATTAAATTTACGGAAAAAAGCGCTAAATTTACAAATTTCAACCAACCAGTTGACACATTCGGCGTAACTACCTTAGAAACAGTGATACCAAGGTTTATAAAATTACGTCGTCAAAATTTAATTGTCTTAAGTAATTTCAATTTGGTAATGCACAGTTAAAGCCAGCCCAGAGATGTTCTTGTCAGAAAACATTACTCACTGGCTGTTAACTAAACATTTAAATTTTTTACTGAACAACATAATTTTAATTAATATATTTTACACCAGTTTTAATTACAATCTTCATTTTTTGAGACAAAATAAACACATTTTTTAGGGTGAAAAATATTACTTTTATTATATTTAAAACATTATTTATAGAATTGTTTTGTAATTATACCAAATAATTACTTGAAGAAAATCCCCAGATATTTTTATTCAAGTCATTTATTCCAATAAAAAAATCTTGACTTAGGTTCTCGTAGGCGTTTTAGGTGGTTTGACTTAATCTGACATTTGAACTTTATTATGTCAGCCCATAAATACAGACGAATTGATCTAAAAAGCCAATTAACTTCGTTATTTTCCATTGATCAAGTTTTTCTCGTTTAAAATATCTCGTTCGCTGGGTCCGCGTCCCAGTCGATATTCCTCTGTTCAATTAAAATTAATTCCAAACCAAGAACTTTTGAAATTATTCTTTTATTCGTACGTCATTATTTTTTTAAATGAAAAACTGTATAAAATCAATTAAAAAGAAATTCATACTTTTTGTTGGGAAACTTGTACTTTATTGGCAGGTTGTATAACAATTCAAATTAATAAAGGCTAAAAGAGAAAAATACTAGATTATAAAATAATAATAAATAATTGAGATATTACATAATTTGCTTTACAAATTAGAACGTATTCTGAACATTTGTGATTTAATCATTAATTATCTGTTTCCCTTGTTTTCTTAAATTGCAAAGACTGCTGGCCCTTTAAACACCATTCTTTTTTTACTGCGAAATCGAAACAACTTTGCCACTATTTAATTAATTGGTGTGATTTATTTTTAATTATTACATTTCTATAGTCAATATGTACATTTTCTTTGAATATATTTTATTGGTATATGGATTGGAATATGGATTATTTGTATATAA